ACGGGAATCAGATTGATATGCATGTGCCGAAATCTAGCTTTTCCATGCGAGGAGAGCCCTCCGGTGGTTGTTAGCAGCCGGTGGGAGGAGTTGCTTGTGGCAAGCTGCACGGTGCCGTCGCATGACATTGAACGGAAGCTGGTGGCCTTTGGAAAAAGCTCACATGTCCAGAGCTGATTTTAGAGCTGACTGCTTGGATCCATGGCCGGCGGAGGGTTGTTCGGCTCGTTTTCTCGCCACGTACGGTAGTTCTCAAGGGTAGGAGTCTTTTCGAGGCCATCTGATCATTTCGTTCCGCCTCGTTATGTGCGTACAGCATTCGGATATTGGTTGACCAGAAAAGGGAACTTTGAAAGTTGTACGAGCATGAAATATCTAGCCCCTAGCCCCGAACCATATTCTAGACTCGGAGTAGAGTCAGCTCTCTCTCTCTCGCCTGCTGCTTGGCTGACTCAGCCGAGCATCGAGAGAGAGGTCTGTCCTGGCTGAGAGTGCTGCTCGAATACTGCTGGAAGTGTTCATCCAGTGCCGAAAACCGCGTGCGTTCAGAACGAATTCATGTTTATCTTCTCGGGCCCCAAATCTGTTGACTCTGACCTGCTGCCGCTGGCCGTGCTGGCCAAATCGCGTCCAACCGAAAGCCACATAAAGCTGTGGGATGGGGAATTACAGGATCCATCACAGGTCGGCACCGCAGAAGCAGAGTAATCCTGCGAGCTTCAAGCCTTCAGCCACAATGATTGTATAAGGGATCCGCGGGTGCCCGACTCAGCCTCTTGCTGTTCTCACAGTGCGGTTGTTGTTTGGGTCCGGCTGGGGCCGTGCGTCGCGTCACCAAAAGAAAGGCCCGTCCTTTCGATAGGATCCCGACGAAATGTGCAGCCATAAAGATTCCGGAGATGAAATCCTGAACGACCGGAATTTTCCCTACAAACCTCCTCCTATTTACCTTCGTGCGCAAACAGTGTCCTCAGCTTTGTTAAAATTCGCCCTCTCACACTTCCTTCCGTCTCATCATTGCCTCCCCTTAGCTTCTGTCCAGTAGGAGTCTATCTATAATCAAGGTGTATTTGAGGGACGTGCTTCTTCATTCCTAATGCGTTGGATATTCTTCTGCAGTGTCGCCCGGACTGTCAAGGTCAAAGCGAAGAAACTCGCTGAAGCATGTGGAGGGCACAAAAAACATGCTGAAAACCCGCTCATAAGGCTACAAGGATCGCTAATGATTTGTTTACGATCGAACTGTAGCACTTTCTCGTTACATCAGCAGGTATTTCTGTAGGCACACCTCCCTTAGCTTCGCAAGGATCTTGCATTTAGTAGGCAACCAAAGTTTCCTACCGCACCGATGTGCATTCGATGGCTCTGTCACGACCTGCACTAGGGCGAAATCACGACGGGCACTGTGTAGATAAAATGATTTATTAGGTCCTACAAACGATTCCTCCTGGTGACCGGACTCTGCTATGAATTGAAGGTTCGGAGGTCCAAGAATATCTACCATGTGTTCACATAGGAATTCGTTAAGACTTCTCCACCTGTCTGAACGAAGACTGTTCAAGAGTGAACGCCTTATCCCACGTTTTAAATTCGGACAGTGAGCTACCAGTTTCTATCCACATCAGACGTTCCATACCCACAAAAGTTCGAGAAGTATCTGGCAGTCCAATTGTGGGAGGGTGGCAACTTCAACCCTTATCCAACAGCATCAAAAGTCTGAAAAGCTCGGTTTTTCCACCACAGTACCTGGCCACAGTTAGTGAACAGTCAAGATATTGCAATGGCATGTCACGTGAACTGGTCCTTGCAGATATGCAACATGGTGATAACTAGTAATTGCGCAGATTTGGCTTCAGTTTATGAATCTGGATCGAAATCTACCTGGAAGCCCTCCACCCTCACTGTGCTCTTGACGCGTACCTCATGCTAGTAGTAAGTGAGCTATTCTTCCGCGAGAAAGGACGCAGTCATTTAACACTAGACTTCTGAACTCAGTAGCTGGTATATTTTCGTAAACTATAGTCGGTAGAAATAGTACATTTGGATTTTTAAGTAAGTGACTAATACCAATTCCAGTAATCAGTGAGAAAGTACCGAAGAGGACAATGTGAAGAAGAATGGCTGCTGGAACTTGTAACCAGCCATTCGTCATAATGGTTCAAATTATAAAGAGACACCGATATCAACGAGTCGAGTAATTCACCAGAAGCAGTCCAAAGCGCAAGGTCCAGTAATGGAGCTGAATAGAAGTTGGAGTTTGAAAGGAACTTAGAGGAACTATGAAGACGAATATACGAGAGAGATTGTTTGCTGAACTACTATTGCCATCAATCTACTAAATAATGAGAGATTGGATGTCAATTACACCTTATTATTTCAGATTTTACTTATTGAATGATTCAATCACTGGATTTCAAGTATACATTGACAACATGTCGTTTTTAGTTAATACAATTAAATCATATATCACCAAATCCATGAACTGTTGACATATCATTTTGTATAAACAAATACAAATATATATATATATATATATCTCTCTCTCAAATATATGTATTTTTTTGATATGTTAATTATAAATGTACAATTCAAGTCATCTTGATATTGAATATATTTATCTTGAATAAAATTTATTTAAATTCTAATGAACTGAAGACTGAATAATAATATTTTTAACCACATTAAGTAAAACTTAATGTTTCAAGTTTTCAGTTTTTTTTCTCAAATTTACAGTCATATCCTCTGAAATGGTAAAATAATCATGCACAAAAGTGATAAGGATGAGACACTATCATAATGTTGTTTATAAGATATGTTTACATTAGTCATTGATATGACGGCAATTTTTTTTGTAACATTACTATGCTTGAAGTGATGGGGAGATAAATGTTCATGATATTATCAAACATAAGCTGTGAAATTATTCATCACACATCAAGAACGGTAACATTTTGAGATTGTTATGAGAAAAGGGTAGTACAAATTCTCTTTAAGGCGTTGAAGTGCATTTGATTTAAACAAAAAGTTGACAACAGATTGTCATAAAGAAACCTATGATATCGGCCTTTCTCCATTATAGCCTAATGTTCCCCTCAGAAAACTTTGTAAGCATTCACCCCGCTATGCAATCGACCTCAATAAATGCGACAACTATCTAAGTAGAGAACAGCCTTTGGGATTGTGACTTTTATGTGTACATTCGTCTTAGACTCTATTTTTAAGACCAAGATAATCGCATCCCTCCTTGAACTTGGATGTTTTGAAGAGAAAAAATCTCCAATAATTATCTCCAACCATATCTCTTTGCTTCTTCTTTACCTTGGCAGTGAATCTTGGATATCACAAGGTACATCAATGTTGCGAAACTTGTACATTGCAATATTTAACAAATTCATGAATTCAGATCCTACATCTACTATGTCTTTCCACTAAGCTTTCCTGAAAGAACTGTAGTTAGAACATACCAGTGTTTCGCGTTCAGCTGGTCAGGGTTGTGATGTGGATCCTGAAGACTTTTTACCACTGAAGCGCTTGATGGGACTATTCCGTCCTGTTGGTCTTTGACGTACATACATACATCTCTGTAAACCTGTAAACATCTCTGTCTCCCGTACATACAAACCTGAAATCTCTGAAAAATCGCCACCAAAAGCCGGAAGGAATAGGATACAATTAAGGGTGCAAACCTGCGGAAATTGGTCATGGGGACAATATCCTCATTTCTATTATCTGAGCGAAAGCAGAGTAAGAGAGACACGCCTTTTGATAAACCCTGTACAAGAAGAATATACAACACATGATATCTGTGTTGTATATTCTGTGGATGTACATCACAGATATACATCCACATTTTAAATGCCGATCGCATGTCGTGTGTGAATTACAACATTGGGATAAGTGTTCTCATGAAATATCCAAGGCTAGATATTCATTGCTGCAGTAAGTTCATATATATTTAGTCAATAGATATAGATATTCATAATTTAGATGCAAAAAAGAATTTGTTGGCGCCTGTTTAGGAATTGATATGACAAAAATTATATACTGTAGGACATGTGTAGGCTCCCATCCACATTTCTCGAACAAAGCTTTGAGCAGCCCAAGACGTATGTTTATAATGACATGCACGTATGAAACACATGTGAAATTCTGAAGAATACTGGGCCGATCCCGATGTACTGAGTTCTCAACTATTGAAGTCACCATGCTTGATCCAAGGAGAGTAAACATCACAAATCAACGTCACAAACCCCGACCCCGATTCCTGTCATTTTCCTGTCATTGGCTTGTTCCATACAGGACCACTTTCGAAATCTAAATTCTCTGAATATCACCTTCAAAAAGCGTTTGCTGTTCTATATGTTAATTCTGCGAAAGTTTGTTACCTTCGGTAAAAGGAACAGGAAGAAAAGGGAGAAAATCAAACGGTTCTTGAAGGTTCACACATACCTTGGCCTTGGAAGCAGAACCATGCCTCAGTTTCTTGTATCATCATAATCATGGCAAGGTACTAGAGTTTCATTGGCACCTTCCGATTTTATGGGGCTTGACGCTTGATTTTGAAAACTGGACCAGACGAAATCTAGGATCTGGATACGGCTTCATCTACGGACTGTACAATGTGAGGACAATCAAGAATCTTCTGAAATGTTTACTACTTCCAAAACTTCGAACGATGCGTCAGAGGAGAGGGATGTTGATCGGATCCAGATTAATGGACAGTCGCGATCAAGATGGATGTAGAGAACACACACCTGATGATTTATCTAGTCATCCCTTCCAACAGAGTCCCAAATCCTCGAATATGCTCTTGTTTTCGACATCGTGTCACACGACTGAACTTCGTTCTCGCTCATCGACGCCTGTTAGGCTCGCACATACGATCAAAGAAATGAACCTGTTGACTGCCAATTGAACTGAACATGGAAGAGGTACGGACTCGAAATTCGAAGGCTCTTACAAGTGTTCTTCTTCGTTATAGGTGTCACGAATTGTGATGTTGGTCTTCAAAGTACCAATCTGTGGAGTCCAATTGTCTCTAATTAACGCCACGTGTTCAACCATCAAATTAAGCTCCGCACGTCGTAATGAGTTGAATCTGCAATCAATCCGTTGTGTACAGACGGACTGATTTCCTTGTCCAAGTGCATCGAAAAGTATTCCTACTCCATGGCAGCCGAGTCTGTTGAGTCCGAGTATATAATCGTAGACCTCGTCTTCCAACAACACCAAATCACACCTACCAAATCTGGCTTCGTTCATGTACACTACGCTCACGGATAGCTCAACATTACAACTTTAAAAAGTTAGCGTCGATCGAGATCCAACAGGTCTACGTGGATGATTTCGAGTATCAAGCTTCTCTCTTCACTTGCTTCTGTGTTGTAAGTTGACTAGTTTGTAGTGAACCCGTTTAAAATGTATTGAATTCATCATCGCAAAGTTCAAGTCAGTTTTTGAGCTCATATATTTTCTCATCGCAACTAAAGGTTGATATGTAGTGCATTTCCATCTGGTGAAGCTATAAAGTGACAGAAAATCAATCTGATGGGATCAGTCTTTTTCAACTGTCAGCAACTCTGAGCAGTCAGCTGGTGTCGTTACTGAGCTCAGCCGGCATCAATTTAAAGTTTATCAAGGTCCTCTGCTTAAGGCCGTCATCCAGTTGTCAGGTAGACTTGGCTGCTTCTTCTGAACATGGTGATTGGCTGCATACTCCCATGATGTTTTTCTCCATTATCACAGAACAACGACTGAGCTGCCTAATACTCTGCAGTAAGGAGATCGATTCCTCACATCGACCGCATTACCATCAATGACTTCTGTGCAAGAACGACGCCCGTTCGTTGAGTCCGACCAGGACACAGAGGTAGCTATCACAGAAACCACAACGGTGACGGAGACAATTGTTGTGGAAACAACAGAACTACAGAATACCGACATGTTTGCAACTAGACCCAACGATCTGTCTGAGAGGCCACTGGGTCCAATTTCCATAGCCGAGGTGAGTGGAAATCGAATTGGCCACTTCGCAAGCATGATGTGAACTCTGCGCTTGCGTTTCCATTCCACCCCCAAATTTACTGTTCAGTCTCGTACCTCACAACTTTCTCTTTCCGCGTCGAATTTTGGACACGGTATTGCAATTATCAACCTTGATTGAGGGGTGACGAGCATGGGAGACGATTCCTGATTTTGATATAATGGACTCTTAAGAGCACTCATGGAAATCTAAGCAATTAACTACTTGAGTCCAGTACATGTCTTTCAGGGATTCCTTTATCCTCGCACAAAGCAAATCTTTACGTTTCCAGCTAACTTTAGGGCCAAACGATAGAGTAGGTTCGCTAAAGGCTCACTTGATATCTACCGCAGTGATGATCTTATATAAGCCGATTCGAAGTGGTCTGATCACTTGAAGGGACTTAAAATGTCCTGGTGCTCAGAGGCTTGCTGACAATTTTTGCTCCAACTGTAACATAAATGCTGAGTAATTTGATGGTCAAACAGATTGCCACTATAAGTTTCGCTATACGAAATTGTAGAGTATAGTTTTGACTTCTCTCGGAATCTGGTTATTCGTTGATTAGGTACTCGAAAATGTGGCGGATACCATCGGCGACAAGCCTGTAACTGTAAGCGATGCCAGAGCTATCCAGTCAGCGGAAGCCTTGGCATCTGGCATTTCATGCGGAGTGAAAGGAGGCCCCGGATCCCTTGCCTTGTCAGCTGTGGATCAGAAGAAGAGCAACACAATCGGTCATGTCCTCAAGGTAAATGAAAACAGCTGTGATTTATAGCTGACCACTTTGTTGAAGCATAGCATCGAAATTGAACTGAAAATAAAGGATTGAGATCATGGATTTACATTTCTTATCTCTCATGCAGAATGCCAGTTCCCATCTTACTCAAGACAAGATTGTAACTTCGAGAGACGCTTCCAAAGTGCACTCCGCAGAGGCTCGTAACAATAACGGACAAGTTCCTAAAGGTGGAATTTCTTCAACAATGCAGCAGGCAGCAGCTTACAACCACAATGCTCGTTATTTCACAGGCATGGATGAACAAATCCAGTAGGCGACATCCACAAAAAAAAGACGTGCTTTCTAGTTTGAGAAAAGCATCGTCTGTCGTCCATGATCATTCATTCAATGGACCTGTAATGCAATCTAGTGTACCCTGTGCGTTCGTGCCGGATCGATGCGTTTACGTACCAGAGGAGGTCTGGTATATAAAAAGCAAACTGTAAGTAGACATAGGTACACGAGTCTTCACGACACCTACTCGCTTTGAGGCAGTAGACGTGAGCATTTTTTGACAGAACTGAGAGATCTGCGCTGTTCCACTGACCCTGGCACTGGTAGTAGATGGTCAAGGACAACATCAAAGTGTGGTTACATATATATATCGTTTATGTGCGCGGGGGACAAAGCAGATAACAGAAAGTATGCGAAGACGTAATCAAGCCTTACAAGTGAGAAATGGAACGTAACACAGAACTTTGTCCTGGTTTATGTTACCCATTATTAAATATCCATTATTATTCTAGCACAACTGTAAACCGTGTGCCTGTCACGTGGTGCGTGGTTCAAGGTTCTCATCAGTCTATATCTTGCGCCGTGCTTTCAAAGATAATTGAGTTTCTATTGGATTAACTTGGGTATCCCATGTGTGATATATAACCATTTTCTACTATGCTTTGGTATCTACACTTCTAGACCATCGTCTAGAAAAATTCGTAATTTAAAATTAGCACTTGAGCTGAACAAATTATGCTCAACGTAATGATTATTGAAGTTTTTCATTCTTAAGCTGAAAATTCTTGCTTCTTAACCTGAGGAAATAAATTATGTAAATGTTTCACACCTTAAATTCTAAACCTGAACTGTGTAAGTATGACATCATGACTGACAGTAAATTTGACGATCTATTGCGGTTGAGCACTTCAAAGGTCTAATGTCAATAAACTCCAACTACTTGTCAGAAGGGAAGTCGCCAACAGCGGCGAAACATTACAGGAGACTTTAATAGGTGTAGCTCGACTTAAAATTTTATAGTAGAAGGTAAAATCTTATCTTTATTTGAGATCTAAGTATCTAGTGGAAGATACTTGGTTGATAAGAGCAAAACGGAGAACGTAGACAGAAAGATGCTGCAAATCTAGCTTATCTCATTCGATGCGCAGAATCCTAGTGGTTAAAATGTCGATAGGAGCAAAGACATGATTCTGCTGGAAGCCCGCCTCTGGACTATCAGAGCGAGGTTTCGATCCTCGGACCTGTGGGTTATGGGCCCACCACGCTTCCGCTGCGCCACTCTGATCATGTCAGTTCCTCTCAGGATAGATTTATATATACTACTGTTTTTGTTCTCACGCATGTCTTTTGGTAAGTCATAAATCTGGCACCAAGTAGCCCTGATCAACCGGCAGTAGTAAAAAATCCTCTGATCATAGGTCTGATATTTTCTCACCAATCAAAATTCTTCTATCATTTCATATTTTTTATTCGTTAAAATTAGAGTTGCAAACTGTATTTCATTATATTAAAAACAATTCGACAGTGTCCTTCCTGCACTAAGCTAGAGTTTCTTCAATGAAACTTCTCTGATCAAAGATGCGCAGTGAAAAAAATAATTAAAATTGCGGGCGATTTTGTTATAATGGAATCATATAAAATGAGTACTGCACGATGATTGACAATTACGGGATTAGAAAAAATTTATGTAGTTACAAGCTCGGCTGAAATAAGCAGTACATAGCCAAGGAGGGAAACTCTCAATGCAACGCCTTCTAATGAAGATACTTGATTTTTTCCAGACCAAAAATAGATTCAGCAGGTAAAGTTTGCCTTTGGTAGATGCTTTGCACCCTAAACTTTGCACTAAGCAATGGAAGACAATAAACTGAACACAAAGGAAAAAGAGAGTTTTGAAGTTTCCTTATATAAAAAATATCCAAGTACGCGAGAAATAAACAAACCCCACTCGGGACACACCAAAGGAAAATTTACTTATGCGTTACTTCCACTGCACGACCAGACAATATGTGGGTTCTCGTGCGATAAACATGTAGAGTGAAACATAAGTTTGGAAAAATGATTGCTCACATATTGCAAACTTAGAAATTACAAATTTTCGTTGAAAAATAACTACGAGACCATATTCTGTGCAGTCCATGCATATGAAAGTAGCTCATATTGCCATGATATTTTATTCCTACGCTTGAAAGCAAGTTCACATGTGATTTGATGGCATGTTATCCAATAGACGACAAGGATAGCTTTGCACAAATTAAAAATGCATGGGAGCTTTCACTTGGATGATAACAACCATGTTTAAGTTATCCGCATTTCTTACTTTCTCCACATCAATATATCTAGAAACTCATGTATTTGACTTGTTGATAAAATGACCCAATAGATATCTTTGAGTTTGCAGGCAATTCATGTGTGCAATTAAGGCATGTCTGTAACAAAATTGTTGGCCTTTGAGATCCATAAACATCGAATTCCATATGTGTATATTGTAATAATCATCCACATCGTATGCACATGTGTTAAAAGCATCTCATACTCATGAAACTATCTTTCTACACGTGATGAGGTGATAGAGTTTGCATCAGCTATAGACCTAAGTATTATAATGTATTGTATCAATTTTGCTTGTGAAAATGTCAAAGTTGACATTCAGGAGAACAAATCCATCACACGTCTGTTTAAATGAACACAAATCAATGAAACGTCTACATAATAATGCAGTACATATAAATTGAGAAAATTATGAGTAAAATATGTATCTTCCTATCAGTTGTAAACTTCGATTTTTGTAGTGGTATTTGTTTTAAATTTCCCGTTTTAAAAAAAAAAATTTATGAAATGTTGTGCATATTGTCATGAGATTGTACAATCACAAAGGGCTATGCAGGTAGTGAAAAAAAAAACTACTTCGAAATGAAACATCAGGTTCTCTATCTGAAGTCCATCCTCATTATACGATACATGCCAATGTGACAAAATACCTAGTTGAAAACAAAACCTCTGTTCCACTAATTCAAGGTAGAGCCTACCCAGTTAGAGAAGACAACAAAATGCAGTCATTAGATAATGACTACCCCCTCCAAGATATATTTAGAGTGCGAAGGAGACTGACTATTCGGCCTTAAATAACATCGCACAATCCACAAGTTTGACGTGGTGAATATGCACACAGGCGCACAAGGAGCAATGAGGAATGTCGGGATCGGGGCTTTGGCCGAACTTCCAGTTTGGCAGAGATAGTGGGTTGGCAAATGTGTTGGCATTGTCGGATTGCGGGGAGTACAGAGTTACCATGTCCGGTACAGATTCGCCACAATTGGAGCGACGGGGCGACCGACGGGACCCTCATGCCGCGTGTCAGACCACGTGTTGGAGGGAGGGGGCCACATGCACGAGGAGGAGCTTCAGGCTGGTCCTTGCCTCCAGCAACTTTAGCGGCCAGTTCAGAAGATTAGAAACGGCAGTCGTGCATACAAGAGACAAGTATTTGCTTCCGACTCAATCATGAATTCGAAAGTGCTCTGCTGCGTGCAAATGTTGCGCTTACCCCGTGTATCTCCCTCACTTCCTCAGATTACTCACATTCGCCGGCATCTCAGAAGTCCTTTGGCCTTCGCTTGTGAGCCGGCATCGTCCACTACACGAGCTTTCGCGGCAAAAGCAGCCCCAGATATGGAAGGCAAGGAAGCTCAACAGCCAGGAGCCGAACGCAAGGCCTTCAGGTGCAGACTTTTGTAATCTTGATGGTTTACTTTGGAAGTTTTTCGTACCAGTTTGATTTAGTTTGTTAGACGCTACTCCAGATCAGATAATGCAGTTCAGTTATCGAGGTGAATGTGGTCACATCTCTACGGATGGAGAAATTTCCATATCCAGATTCCAATGCTGTTGCCTTTTATATTTCCATTTGTGCAGTTTCAAGAACTAGATATTTTCCTTGACATAAATTCTAAATGTTGACAACTGGAAACAATGCTTCACTTTTCATGTTGATTGTTTGCAGTATATGATTGCAATCATATATTGCAAATTAATATCCATAGTTTCAGAATCATCACAGCCGGGAATCACGATTATTATGCACCTTCCAGTTCGTAATGTATTTGTCGGCTTTGAATATACTTTTGCTTGCGAATAAGAGTACTTATGTCTGTTTCGACATGGAAATTTGTAGAGAGGATATGGAGGATTCATATGGAGAAGCATATGCTACCCGATCATCAGATGAAGGTTACGGAGAAGCATACGGAGAAGCTGTTAAAAGGTATCAAACGAATCCTGATATTAAGGAAGTTCAGAGAGGAGCTACATCTGAACGAGATCAAAAAGCAGATGCATTTGCTGGTAAGTAACCCCTCTGTGGATGACCACACTCTGCACTATACTGTACTCAATCTCGATGTGTGCAGCAGTTAGAGGAATTTTTGTATGGATAAAGGTTTCGTTCGTGACCTGAAGTTATAAAACTTTGGCTGCTCGGCCGTCTACATCCACCACCAAGCATTCGTTGTGGTAGAAACTACGATTTATTTCTAAATGCAGCCATGCTTTTTGCCGAGATGGGAAAATGAATGTCGTAAATGCGTCCACAAATCAATAGGCTAGAGTTAATATTGGATTTTCACGTACTGTTAACACATGCAGATACGAAATCTGGATCAGATTACGATACATCTCAGGGTCACCCCGTTGCTGAGAAAGAAAAAGCTCGCCATGCTAAGCACGAAGATGCTTTTGAACATGAGAAAACCGAGGAGGCTACAGGAGCAAGCACTTGAAAATAGCACACTTATTAAGGCCTTTTTAGTACATAGGCAGCCTTTACCGAAATAGCAGTACGACGATACATTGCAGGGTTACCCAATTGCAGAGAAAGAAAAGGTGGCCATGCTAAGCACGATGATGCGTTTGAACATGAGAAACCCGAGAAGGCTCCAGGAGGAAGCACTTGAAGATAGCACATTCGTCGTACCGAAATGTCAGTACGACGAATGAAGATGTAATATTTTAGCGTCGTTGATGAAAATGAATTATCATCAGCAAAATAGTTTATATTTATAAGCAAAAAATTTGGTTCGTTTACTGTACTGCTGGAGTTTAAATACATTTGACTATAAACGTTGAGGCTTTTGTAGCTTTCTAGGAGATAATGGTGATGACGTTGATCTAGTTGCATCGATGATATGGCAGTCTGGAGCATGGGTTATTCAACGAAAAACCTGGAGCTTTAGTTCATACCCTGTTACTTTCTGATGGAATGTGCTCACTTCAAAACTGAAAACTGAGCCCAGTGAAGCAAGTCAAGCCTAAGCATCTCATGGTTTATATGTTGGAATCTCTTTGTATGCAAGAGAAACGGATTTGCGCGAAATCCGTACCAATTATGATCTTTTATCGGTAAAAGAAAAATAATAAATCTTTTCATAAAATTTCATACGCCCTCTTCCAACTATATTCTTGCTCGATTACTCTCGTAACATGGACTGTTACTAGCACTATGTTTATATCCAACATTTCGATAAAAATGCAATACACATCTCCCAACTGTCAATTCCCGTGCACCGCATTCTTCTTGAGTAGAACCACATCTCTACCCTACACCTATCTTAACTTGAACTAATAAGAACAAAATAATACTCTTATCACAACTCGCAACATAAACCTCGAAGTTGACCTAAAAGTACGAACTTGTTTACTCTTTATACCAATTACTCTAGTTCTCCAAAAATTGAAACATTGCAGTAAATCAATCCCGTTATCAATAAGTACAGAGCCCTGCTATATTATAACGTACGTCGGGAACATTTCTTCACTTTTTGACAACATTGCAGCATGCCATGAGTAAGCAATGACTTTCGATGCTCTGTCATCACTATGCTGATTCAGTCAGTCAACTCATACGTAAATGTCCGTCAAAGTCATCGAGTGCATTGTATTGTTGACAATTTGTAACAATCAGATTACTCGTATGCCATCTTCGGTGATGATATACTGTACATCTGCCGCAGTCCTCATCAACTTTTCATGACGGTGAGTAGTGGATATTACCACATTCGTTGAGACATCTGTTCTATGCAGGGAGATAGCGTACTGATGTATCACTCTGCAAAATCTTCAATCTGCACTGTCAAACCGCGGCCACAAGTGCAATCCGTAATCGTTAGTACCTTTTGACCTCCTTTATTGCAATCATCCCAGCACATTGTGACAGGGTAGTGTAGAAGCCTCACTACCCACAAAATCTCATGAGTTTTTCGCATCGTTGACCACTGCCTTCAGGTCATATTCTTGGACCTCCTGACCAGAAGGAAATTTTTTTTTTCCAACCTCTATTCCAATCTGAGTTGACCGGAGAGACTGTCAACATATCACATGGCTGTCAAGATGTAAGATAGGAAGCACAGTGACTGCTGTTCTGTTGACTATGCACGTTTCCCAGATGTCGTGCGATTTCCTGGATAGTCCTCTGGTACGACAACGACAGAGGATAACAGGCGCATACAATTATCACTCACAAATAGGCTTAAGAAAGTTACTGATACTTGAATTGGCAGCTGGCTTCAGACAGAATCTTTCCCACGCAAATACTCTTAACAAGGCCATATTCAAGAGTACCTCACTCTTTGGAAAAAAAGAAGTGCTTTCGAAGGCTCATTCCAGACTGAGAAAATATATGACAGTGATCATACAGCCTACCAATGGCTTCGCTCGAGTACTCAATGAAGCTGAGTGCCCCTGATCCATCTCTTATCTTTTGATTATCAAGAACTACAAGTGTCAAAGAAAACAAACCACGAAGTGTCAACATGAGCGCCAAGTTTGTGAAAATTTCAAGTAATTACGTATCCTGTTAATTACATGGAATAGATCCCTGCCATCTGTGGCAGAGCGAAATCACATTGTTGATACAAGCACAGTGAGAAGAACCAGCTCTGCTATTTCTAACTTAAGATAAACTGAAGCAATTGGCAAATTACAGAAACTCGTAATTTATATAATAGCCAGAGTAAACCCTAACTGGCGATACCCATACTAACATCCTCGGGTCGACGCTCTGTATCTTCCTTCGTCACGATACTCTTGACAGAGTCCTCTGGGATAATCTCTTTCATGTCAACGCTTCCCTGTGAGGCTTTAGACGAGTCAACACCAGCAGAATCCGCCTGTTTTTTCAAAGGCTCTGCAGGAATTGATAGGTTCGCAACTATGTTGTGTATAGTTACCTCGGGAACAGAAGGCAACTCTACGACGGTGGAATCATGGAGCATTTCAGTGTTCGAACCAGCTGGGGGCAGTACAACTGCAGAACCCAACTCAACAACAGAGGAATCGTGTATCATCTCAGTGTTGGAAGCAGCAGCTTGCGGTAACTCGACGACAGTAGAATCATGAAGCATTTCGGAATTCGTACCAGTGACTTGGGGCAACTCCACCACGGTAGAATCATGAAGCATTTCGAAATTGGTTCCGGGAATTTCAGACAGATCCGAACCAGTAGAATCATGCAGCATATCTGTGTTCGTGGCAGTAGCTTGAACCAATTCAGCAGCAGTTGATTCGAGTAGCATTTCCGAGGTTGTGCTAAGAACATGGATTTGATCAGCAGCAGTAGAATCATGAACCATTTCTGAACTAGTTCCGGGAACCTGAGGCAAGTCAACAACCGCCGGATCATGCAAAATTAAAGAATTCGTGGAAGGGACTTGAGGAATCTCGGTGACAGAAGGCTCATGCAGCATATCCGAATTGTTGTTGGCAACCATATCTATTACTGCTGCCTGTGCATCAAGAACACGCTCTACATCGACCATCTCCTCATCAATTACAGGCATTTCTTTGAAGCTCACGATACTATCTTGGGCTCCATTCATAGAAACACCGTCCAATTTTACAACTTTGTGGGCTTCCACTGGCATTTCAGTAGGTACAGACCCAGGAAGAGGCTGCAATGGATATGGATCAGTGCTAGATGCATAAGTGGACTGCACCATCAGCAGTTTTTCCAAAGCTAGGGCCAACTTGTCCAGGTTGTTGTAAGTATCTTTAGGGCATAGCAGAATCTCACAAAGCCGTTGATTGGTGAAAGGCGCACCGTCTGTGAAAGCATCAAGATTTTGCACGAGTCTCTCCATCATTTGTGGAAACGACTCACTCCCTGGGGCAGGAGGTCCAATCAAAGCAGTTCCATCTTCAGGATACTGTTGTTTGTGAAATTCTTGCAACACTTGAGTGAGACGAAAACAAAGCAACATTCTCAGTTGCTGCCAGTCATGCCAGTACCGCCCTGTCGCAGCAGTCACCTCCAAAATGCTCCTGAGCTCCTTGGTGAACTCTTTCGCCGATTCATCCTTCTCACAAAAACTGGCCAAGGCATTGGAACCCGGAAGCTTCTCGACTTGGTCCTGCATTGGAGATCAGATTCCCAACAACCAAGCCTCTTATACCGATCGACCCACCCTCAGCCAAAATCGTCTCCCGTCCCGTCTGATCCTCTACTTCTCTCAATCCCAGCTCCTCAACGACCACCCACGCAAACCAGGACCTGGATGAACAAGGTTGTGAACACTCCAAAAGCTCATCGTCGTCGAGGGCCTCTGGTCCTCCTCGCTCGCCCCCACCTCCCTCATTGCTCAATTCCAATCATTGGGAGGAAAACCATCTGCCCACATTCCCAACTCGTCAAAACAGACACAGACTTCACACTGCAGTTGGACCGATGAGAGGCCGAGGCCGGACTGCTTATGCACTCGCGCTTACTGCCTGCATCGCCTCGATCTACGAATGCAGAAGGCCGACCGAGGGCAGGGGGTCCGATGGTTCTCCACCCACCGGGCTACCAGCCTTGTTCCATCTGTCACACCCGACAAGCGAACGTTGCAGGACAAGAGAAGACAAGCTCTGTCGCCAGCGTACGCTCTCGCTGTTCCCGCTCCCGGATCTTCCCTGCGCCCAAGGACTTTGAACGTGGCTTGGGTTTGAACTTTCAACCATGCCTTCGTCAAACTCTTCCTCGATCTGACCGACCTTCGACCTTCGGGCCTCCATTTGGGACAAGACCGGTCGGGTGGGAGTCCCCTCTTGTCCATGCAGATGACTTTAAATTCGTAACCATACATATGTGCCAACAGCATTCAGGTCGTTCGTGGTTGGTCCTATTTTTTCTCATTTGAGGGGGTTACTTTTTCAACCTTTGATGTTGATGGCAGTATGTGGGTGGAATTGGCACATTTTGTTGTAAGTTCTAGTGTCGGAGCTAGCAGCTTTCAAAGTCATGGCTGGTCCAAATTATAGCATTCATTGTAGGCACAACGACATCTTTCAAGATTACATTAAGTGGATAGAGCTTGTATTACACACCATGATTTCTGACCAGATGTGTGTTCTTGATGAAAGAAGGGATGGGAAACGAATTTACTTCATTAAGAAAAGATTTATAATGGTGTACGCACAATTTATCCCACTACAGTCTTCACCGAATTTGGCCTAATTTCATTGTTTACTCGGCATCATTATGGCATGTAACAAGTAACAACAAATTAAAAGTTCCATGTTGAAATTAGACATGCGGAAGATATTTCGCTCAACGAAAACGTGGTCTTGAATATAAATAAATATTACGTGGAAAATACCCTTATACCTGCAAATATGAAAAATTCATTGAATGCGCTTAGAAGGAAATGTCTTTCTATGCTGAAACCATGTACAATCCTCTTACCCTACCTTGGCCTGCAAAAGTGGGGTCCGTCGGAGGTAACACAACACGTCATTCCGCAAAACTTGACTTAACCCCTGTTCCGTAGAGGGGATCAGAGGAGAATAATGCTCCTTAGTCCGTCGCGTGATAAGCTTTCTTCCGTGTGGGACGAAATTCCATGTAATGAACGTAGTCTCCAACAGGGTCTGTAACTCTGCCGTATGTGAAACCCTGAACCCTAAACAAATCTAAGCTCTGTCACGTGCACTGAAGAAGAATACACATTGTGTTCAGCGAAGTACGTCGGTCGATGCAGATTTTTCACTTCTTGATGTTTCAGAGTTTCTAATGTTGCTCTTTGAAATGAAAAGGTTGAAGGTTACGAGATTGTTCCTTGACGCGCAAGCAACTGGTTCTACGGTATTTTAGTGTCACGGTGGATTGCAGCTAAGACGTGAGCGAGATTTACAGCTGTTGATTGCGGTCGAACGCATTGTTGTTTGAGACTTGTTTGTGTCGACGCTTAGCGTGTTACACGTTAATCGAATATCAATTGTGGAAGTATGGCGACTTTCGGGACCATTACTTCCACGGCTCCGCACAACCCGAACAAATCATTCGAGGTATTCTGCTTATACTTCTACTCTTTCCCGCGCATTCGATCTGTGACCGTCGCATTGTGCGTTCTTGTTGAATCTCGCAAGTGGGGAGTTTGTACTCGGGAAAAACTGCTGACCGCAATGAAGTCAAGAAGTGCCAGGCTCCAGCGTGTATGTGCGAGTCGGTTAAAATTTTCACCAGCACACCATTATCAATCACGAAAATGTAGTGACTCTGTGGGGGTTTCGAGCTTCAGGTCGTACAGCCACCTACAGATGGTATCTCCAGTCTTACTTTCAGCCCTAAAGCAAATTATCTCGTGGCGACATCGTGGGATAATCAGGTACTTCTTTCCCTTGATAACCAGATCAAACTTATGTTCAACTTCATCGTGAAAATTTGATTCCAATGAGAAGTCGTCTACCACGTATTCGTTAAAGACGTGCATTGCATTAGACGTATTTCATATCCGCCGCTATCTGAGAGCACTATTTCTCTCAGGTGTTTGTTGGTCTAGTTCTGTATGTATCACGTCATTCGAATCATCTTGTCTTTGAATTTCAGGTACGATGCTGGGAGATACAGCCGAATGGAGGAAGTGTGCCTAAGGCAGCCATGTCACACGACCAACCAGTAAGTTGATATATCTACTAAGATTGTATATCGTATCAAACGCAGTGAGGACTTCTAGAGTTGTGGTGCATATATCAATGAATCCCAATAAAAGTCAACTGAAATTTTTCCTGCCGTTTTGTTTTCTGAATGACTTCTTACAATCCCAATCATTAGTTTTCCGATGAACCCCCTGTATAATTGCATTACTTGCTTCACATCAAAATGGACAGAACTCTATTGGCAACTAGTCATCTCCATACGACCAGATCTGTTCAGAGTTTTGATCATGACGTGGGAATTTCTACACCCAGGTGCTGTGCTCAAGTTGGAAGGACGATGGGACCACCGTTTTCTCGGCGGGATGTGACAAACAAGCGAAAATGTGGCCTCTGCTCACAGGGGGAGCTCCAACTACTGTAGGGATGCATGATGCTCCTATCAGAGAGATAGCGTGGATTCCAGAAATGAACCTATTGGTCACCGGAAGTTGGGATAAAACACTGAAGTATGACCTTGACTCTGTTGTGCTTTCTCGGCTCTACGCTGCAATTGATAATTTCCTTACCTTTGTTGTAGGTCGTCGTTGGATGCTGAAATTGCTGAAAAGAAGTGGGGTATATGCTTTTGGAGATCCACCATATTTGAATTGTTTTATCCGAAGCTTAGAATTGGTGGCAAGTTCGAACTTGAGTAGTGTCCAGAGAATGGTCGAAAATATGGATAACCTTTCTGTGCTTCCAATTCTTGTTGAAGAGGACTGGGTGCCTTGTGGTCTACTTGGTCGTGTGATCGACGTACCAAAATTCTTGTGATTGACGTAACAAAATACTTACTTCCCGTTTCAGATATTGGGATACACGCCAGCAGGCCCCCGCACATACCCAGCAGTTGACCGAACGCGTCTACGCCATGAGTGTACGGCATCCACTAATGGTTGTAGCTACTGCAGATCGTAACATAGCAGTGTACAATCTAGCGAATCCTCAGGTTTGTTATATCGCATACATTTGTCATTTTTTTCCATATGAAGTTTTAAAGCCCATTGCGATGGAGGTTTGGCCTGTTGAGATGAGCAAGGTATCACCAATCGATTGGAAGTAACCTGTCATAACCTTATTCACTGAGATGATACTTTGAGCTTACGAGTCGTATCTTACTTCGGTGACAGACGGAGTACAAGCGACTTCCGTCGCCTTTGAAGTATCAAACCAGGTGCATCGCAACGTTCCCTGACAAGCAAGGATTTTTGGTAAGTCCTCGTGAGAGTGTCAGGGTTTAATTTCCTCTGTGTCCATCTCCTTCTTCCACTCTTCACATGTTCCTTCCAGTCACATACTTGCCTTCTGTGGTTTTATATAGCAGAGTTCAATGGAGGACGGTTCTTTGTTTTAAGTTTAACTATTGAAATATGTCGGTGCTTTCAGGTGGGTTCAATTGAAGGCCGTGTGGCCGTGCAGCACATTGACGAAGCACAGCATCCAAAGAACTTTACATTCAAATGTCACCGTGATAACAATGACATATATGCAGTGAACGCGATAAACTTCCATCCCGTAAGTATTGCACAGTTAAATCGCCAAGAGATGACAGATGCGGTGGATCAGATTCTATATATAAAACTTTCTGGTAATTTTCATCTGCTTGTGCCCCATCCTCAACTGTTGTTACATGTGGCAGGTGCATGCAACCTTTGCTACATCTGGTTCAGATGGAGCTTACAACTTCTGGGACAAGGACAGTAAACAAAGACTTAAGGTTCACAAACATGTCTCACGCTTTTTCATCTTATAAAGATCTGCTTTCACTTCTGTCGTGCTTGTTGTCCCCTTTGGCCTTCGAATAATTTACTTCCTTAATGTGCAGGCTCTACAAAGATGTAATCAACCGATTCCTTGCAGTACTTTCAACAGCGATGGCACTATTTTCGCTTATGGGGTATGACTTCACAGAATTTACTTCAAGTCGTTATGCTCTTCATAACTTTTAGTGAATTCGTTGATGCAGATTTTGACTAATTTCATGTCGTCTTGGCTTCGCCTTTCAGGTGAGTTATGACTGGAGTAAAGGTGCTGAGAATCACAATCCTTCTCAAGCTCGCAATTACATCCTTCTCCATCCTACTCAGGTGAGTGTATTTAGTTGGCAAGATGTTATGTGTCCTTCATGTATTCAGCGAAATAATTCAGCGACGACAAATGATTAACTGTTCTTTTGCTTTCGTCAGCAGAAGATTCATGTAGTTTGTGCCCATTGTCGTGTTATATGACAGGACTCTGAAGTAAAAACGAAACCTCGAGTCACAACGAGTGGAAGAAAATAGATGACTTCCAGAAAAGTCTACAGTTTTGAAACTTCCATTGTACAACGGACTGTCTGGTGAAATCTTCTGCTTTCTGCACGCTAGGAAAAGGCCACCAGCTAAACGGAAGGTTAAGCAGTTGACAATGGGGCCAGTAGAAGCTGAGTACCGCTCTAGGCCCTCGTTATCATTTTAGTGTATTCAAGGAGATGGATGAGCAACTTCTCTGTTTGCAAAGTCCATGATTCAAATGTCACTTTAGTCTGTCACTTTTGTCCAAAATTCATCACGTTCTTTCGACTTGTAAAGCGACAGGCGCACGTTGGGTAGCTGTGTTTACGTTTCACTTGTTCTTCCAACCACAGGAGCCAGCACAAAGTGCTTTGTGCATATTATGCACATTACGGCTGTTGTGTCCGGTCTGATTAGATCCGGTTTGTCACAATTTGCGCAGAGTTGTAGCATGGAGTGCTTAGCAGAGGAGCACTGTAGAATATCATTACTCGCATTTAAGTTCATTCGGATGTCTGTCATACAAATCATCGCTTTAGCTACTAAACCTGAGTGAATGAACACGGTTCGTCAATTTATAAAGACAGTGCGAACATTCTACATTCTGTTTGGACATTCTACCTACAGCTGTCGGGACATTCTTGTTCATATGTACTTATTTTTCTTCACTTTTATAAAGTGGTCCATTCCGAAGGCACCGCAGGAGCTTTTTTGTACCTTCTGTCAGGTATTGAGTCGAAGTATATCAACTCGCCAAAATTTTATTGCTAAATATACCATTTGCCTTGAAGGGCCGTGGAGTTTATCAAACAATTATATTGTTGAATAGGATTCCAGCATCTTGCCTACCTCAGAACGAGCAACTCTGCAAGGAAAACAGTACACATTTCTACTTCACAGTCCAACCACTAACTTCTAGCGCGTAGATGCTAAAATCGAAACTAGCTGCTATTGTCAACGAAATTTTACAATGATAACTACATTAGATATAAACATTGGCATCAAAGACCTGAACCATAACTGAATTTTGTGTGCTGAGTTTTGCGAGCCACCAATTCAACTGTTAATTAGATTTCGAAAGTTCAATTATCCGCTAAATTATGCGTTTACAGCGCTGTACATAGATATTCCATTCTCTCTAAAGTCAAATTCAGTGAATTTGCAGTAATTGCTATGTCATTTCTCCTAAAATATGAAAGAATATTATGTAAATTAACTGAAAAAAATCAATAGTGGGTTGTGACAAAAGTCCTATAAAAAAAATATATTTTGAAACTCAATTAGATTTTTTGTTAAATCCAAAAAATTAGTAATCTAAGTGTTGTAGCTTTTTTCTTCTGATGTTCTTTTGAAATTTTTTTGGTCAAATTTAGTCAAAAAAATTTAACTTTATTTGACTCGAAAAAATTGTAATGGGATCACACGGAGAAAAATATTCGATGCAATTCCATACACAAATAGCTTGATTTAGTTCTTTCAATCATTTGGATCATAATGAAAACCATCAATATCACACGTGACCCACCTTCTAAAGGATGAAAGTTATCTAAAGGATGAAAGTTAACTTGAAAAGAAAAGTTAACTTCAATTTCAGTTGTGTTAACTTCCGTAACTGCTTGATGGGACCCCTCCGACGGGTCATCGTAAGTTATGTTTTAATTGATTTGTTTACACTTCAATGAAAAAAAATAAAATTCTTCTCTAATTTAAGTTAGTTAGATTTTCCATATCTCCCAATCTCCTTAGTGGAAGAGCCCAATTTCTCACATCCCAATCTCCGTAGTGGAAGAGCCCAATTTCTCACATCCCGTAATGATTTTACATTTATAATGTATAGGCATAATCTACTTACTCCTTATATTTTTTTTCTAAACTCTTGGTGGAAATCCTGTCAGCTGCGTATTTTGGTCCCTGAAGTGCATTTCACTTTTCAACAAAGAGACTCAGTGTTTTTACTAACCCGGATTGAGGGGAATTACAAGAACTCGCAGTAGAACATCAGTGACGGTGGATTGAATTGCCGTTGGAAGGGTCCATAGGGTAAAATGGAACTTATCTAGACATGGAAAATCTAACTAACTTAAATTCGAGAAGAATTTTATTTTTTTTCATTGAAGTGGAAACAAATCAGTTAAAACATAACTTACGATGACCCGTCGGAGGGGTCCCATCAAGCAGTTACGGAAGTTAACACAACTGAAATTGAAGTTAACTTTTCTTTTCAAGTTAACTTCAAGCAGTGAACGTTCTGATGGGATCCCATCAAGCAAATTTCTCTACTTCATGTGGATCTTGTTGTCATTGTGTCGTTTCAGTATGACCTATATATCCACATACTATTCTTGAAGCATGGAAATCAACGTAAATCATTCCACTAGATTATTATTATTCAAGAATATCATGAACTTTTAATCTTATACTTCGAGATTTACTTGACATTGAGGGGGTTTGTCATTTCAAAATAAAATATGGAAGTTAACACAATTTTTCCTTGAGCCTACACTTTTATTTAAACTAAAAAAAGTTATTAAAATACTGTGTTGATTTAATGTGTTAAATCTGTAAATGGATTTTCTCAATATTGATTTTAGTGAGAACACGCAATCATTTTTATTAAGCTTGCCATGACTTATGTATCAGCATCCTTAGTTCGGTGGGTGCAAGTAGGTAGAGCATACACATCAATCAGAGTCCTAAGTCGGGGTCTAAATTACAACAAAGTTTCGCACCGTTCGAGATTCTATGTCAAAAGTATGAAACCAGAAATCTATTAGTCTACTTTAGAAGTTAGTACATTCATATGTAAAGATCATGTGACAAGGAAAACCAGCTCTCGAAGGGGTTGCCTAGGCTAAAAAATTGTACTAGAGTTTTACGTGAAACTGACAACGTGAATCCTGAAACTCGGTGCTTGAAGATGCACGAGCAAGATGTGAGGGTTGACGACGGTATCCTTTTCCAAACATGGATGAAGGAATCTTGGACTCCTTATGGCGATCGATCATCGACTTCATGAAGTCAACTACAGAATCTGGAAAGATAACATGTTTGGCAAGAGGATGAGCATCTTCATAGCAGCATGTTGTGAGAGAGCCCATCATGTCGAGGTTACATGTTTCTACTCTTTATGGTTCAAGGCTACTCGGGTTCAAACCCAACGCTTTTAGGAGGATGTTTTTCGTAGTCAGAATCATCAAAGAGTTCTGTCCGCAATGCTCGTGCAACATTGCTTTCTTCTCCCTTGGAACTGAAAGTTTTGTGGTTTAGTACTTGCAGTTGGAGCATGCTCACTCCAGGGAATCACTAGTATACGGTCTAGCTGATCTCTAACCATCTTACCATTAGAGACCAATCTTTTCGTCGACTATCATGAAACACGACAAGCAATGTGGAGTACAGTAACCTGTAAGTACGCACCCGTTTCTATACGCATCCCGGATGAATACGCATTTTTTTCCAAAAAAACACGGATCAAGTTTATTTAATTCAACATGTCATGAATTGTCATTTGTCACAATATCACATGTGTTTGAAGTTTTTAGCGTTTTGCTTTCAAAGTGACAGACCTAACCTTGCTATAAAACGATTCAAACAACTGTCTAAGAACATCAAATTGTTCCTGCGATTCTTTTTGAACTTCTGAGCACAGCAACTGATATTCTCTATCAGCAACCTGCTTTTAAATGACGCAAATCCTTTAAATACAACGATGTTTCCTAAACCCAAATATGAATCTTGAGAGACGAGAAGTTCATCATCAATTTTATCATCCAGATTTTTTCCGCAAGCTTTATAGTTTCCAAAAATTCTTCAACATCTTCAAGAAATTCAGCTGTAAATACTTCATTGTTTCATCGTTGACATGAAAAAATGGTTCAAGCTCTTCTTGCCCAACAGAAATATTTAGAGCTGCAATAGCTTGTGTAACTTCAGTCACTAAATCTTCCATCTTGTTCATAGCTTCGTGATCGATTTCCAATGTCATTATTTTTGCTTTAACAAATGCATTTTTGAGAGAGCTTGATGACAGGAATGGACAAGCTTCTTTGACATAACTTGCAGCATCAAGCAAGTGAGTAGAAATTCGAGAGATTTGCTTGATGGGACCCCTGCGGAAAGATAATTTACTTGATGAGACCCCTCAGGTCTTGTTCTACCCGATGGGACCCTAACGACGGTGTGCCGTCAGACATAGTTCTAGTAACTACGATTACTACTAGCTACAATGCGGGGATTACAATCAGATATCAATCCCTGATTATAATTTCTGGTGGATTATCACGGAGACAAAGATCGATTTTGCTCGAAGTGCAATTTGTTGTGCTTCAATTCTTTGCGGATTTCTCTGTTGACTCCCACCTGCACTCTCCTTCCGTAACCCTTTGTATGCGACGAGAAGCTCGTACCGGAAAGTGGTCCGAGCTCAAGTCTCGCGATCACTCAAATCTGGCAAACAAATAAACTCCGGATGAACATTTTGCTCGTCTCCTGGAGGAATGGTCGGATACAGAATGACAACATAAAAACAAGTGAGTGTGATGGAGCGCGAAGTCCACTCTGTCCGCGGGTGCGATTGACTCGTTGCACTCTCTCTAGTTGTTATAAGAACATGGGTAACGGTGCATCGTTCATGGGGTCCCATCGGGTAAAATGAAACCTGAAGGTTCCCATCAAGCAAATTACTTTCCGCAGGGGTCCCATCAAGCAAATCTCTCGTTGAAATTTTGTATGCAACTCCAACAGCATACAAAATCAATCTTTATTCATGCATTCTTAATTAAAATTTTGTCTCATCTAGGTAATAAAAGTCAAGAACATCTTTGAGATAAAGATATTTTAACCTCTTTTTCAGAGCTGCGATTATGCTCATATCCCACGATTGTTTCCAACTTGTGCAATTTGTAGTAAAGAAAACGATCCTACCATTATCGCGCTCAAAAGTCTAAAAGTGTGCAAGTAAAAAACACATAGTTGAATCACTTCTAGCATGTTTGAACATACATCCACGCTTTCACTTGACTGATATATGGAAAAGATTATGCGATCCTTAATACAAGCTGATGTTTATCAATCAATGTGTATGATATTTTATGAGTTTGCATAGCGTTGGCACAGACGATAAGAGAAATTTGATCCTTAGATTTGTTTTTCTACCTTTAGTTGTTGATATGTCTTCATCTAGCATAGGAAGATTGTATCTGAATAGTAGGCAAAAAAATAAACCAGTGTCATCCATATTGTAAACGTTCCAAGTATCATATTGGACTATAATCGTGTAGAGTTGGTCAAAAGCTGTCAGCTATACATGATCAAATTTGTTGACTTAAGCACCCTCTCCGTTAAGTAGCATCTTGTGTAAATCGACTAAATCATTACCAATATGTCTTGAAATCAATTTCATGATTGAATAAAACTTGATGCAACATTCTTTGCTTTGGCAATGGCAGGAGATGGTGGAAGAAGTAGATTGGCACAATGCATGCAGTCAATCTAAATATAAAGCATGTCTTCAAGTTCAGAAAAATGACTAACAGAGGATCAAAAAAATTTCTCTTTAGCTTCATCACACATGAAGCCATATCGCTTTAGATTTATTTTCTACTTGTTTCACACCTGTTTGATTGCTATTTCACTCATATTGTATGCACGCACTAAAGATCTTTTACTATGAGCATAAGTCTTACTTAGCTTCTCAATGATTTTGCATCACTAGAACTCACTATGCGTTTATCAATCAGATTCTTTGACATTGTAACTTTGAGAGTAGCTTCCTTGCTCGCTTGCTGCTGGCAGAAGCAACTATGAAAAAACTTGAAAGAAAAGAAAGTTGACTCTCGTTATCACTTGATGATCTCCTGCATTTCTTCGAGGATCAAACTCTGCGCTAGTTATCTAATGATAATCTGCAACTCTCCGAGGATCGACCTCCGCGTTGATTTCTAAGTTGTGATTAGCCAGTACACAAACTTCCGCACTAGTTTTCAAATTTTGATCAGTAAGGACACAAACCAGTTCCTTGAGTTACTCCTTGCCCTCGTCTTGTGAACAAAGCCGCAAGATATGAATGGACATTGAAGAACTAAAAACTGTGAAAAAAAAAGAAAATTGATTCAATGAAATATTGTTAGTGGTCACTGTTTCCATCAATGCACGCTAACAATGATTTTTGAGCGGCAAATTGACCTGTCACCACCTACAAACAGACAAGCATGCTACCAATAAATTAAAAGTGACACATGAATCTGCCAACTTTCTAACATCTGAATTAATCTATAAGCTTATGTGCAAGAGCAATGTGACAATCGTCGATAAATAAAGACACAAATACTTAGTTCGTGAAGACAAAAATTTACTATATTGACATCTTTGTGTGTTAAGTACGATTGTTTAGTAGGCAAAAATAGATCTATTTAGTTTGTTTACACCTGTTTGTGTTAAGTATGTCTGTTTAATCGGCGAGGAGACACATGTGTAGACTGTTTACACCTGTTTGTATTAAATATGTCGATTTAGTCAGCGAAACTAACTATTTGTATTAAGTACGCACCTCCTACTTAAGTATGCAAAATACTTCTAAATCAACTTGCGTACTTAAGTGGGAGATTACTGTACAACAAAGAGAAAATTACTTGATGAGATGAGATCCTCCGGAACCCACATACAACGCGATTCATATTACACGATGGTGCGCTCATAGTCATCCATGTTTCCATACAAAACTTTTCAATGTGTGTGTGATTTCAAAAGTGCATTTCATAGCGTGAACAAAATGATAGTTTTAGTTGAAAATGTTTGCAAAAGTTCTTTACGTGCAGAAAGTTTGGAGCATTGATATGTGGCGAGTTGATCATTCTAGTTTACCTTAGTAGCTCCCTAGTATCCTATGGCAATGTGGCATGATACTAGAGCATGAAATTTGCGAATATCACTTCACGCATATAGAGTAGCCTTGTTTTTGTGACACAAACTACTGCAATCGATTGTATTTTCCCAATCCATTATATCATGATGTATCCTTGAGTTGGATGCAACTTGAAAAACATTTACAATAAGCAAAGCATTTACAATAAGACACATTGGAACATGGTAGTGTGCTTCCATGAATTAAAATGAATTGTGTTGTGTCCAAACAATGTTTTGCGTTAGCATCTTTCATCAAGTGTTTTTCTCCAAAAGAGAAGACAAAGTGGTTTTTTTATCCTCTATTGTATGTTTCTGGAACTAAGGTCAACCTTATGTTAAGTAACATGTATGTGGGGATGTCGGCAAGTGCTTTTTTAAAATTTGTAACATAACATGAAAATTTTTGGTGAATCTAGTTTTACCTTAGATGGATATCAATTGCAGTGGAGTGTATTGAACTTTACAAAGTTTTTATCTACTCAAAATTTTTGTTTTCACCTCTTCCTTCACCATGTCTTAATATTTGCTTATGAATGTTTACTAACTTACACAATTAGTAATTCACTTTCCAATTGCATCAAATCTATTATTTTTTAGTTAATTGAAGAGACTCGTATTTGCAAATACCTTTGTACAAAATCTTCATTACATATGATCATCAATTACATGAAAAGTGAATATTTAATTCACAATAAATTATTTTTTTCATAAACGTTCAAATACATATTCAATCATGCAGTATTCTCAATCTGATCAATCAAAGCGTTCTTGTAGAAGTTGCATTCATCATTATCATTGTCAAAACATGGTTGGATCTCCCATAAAGCAACCGCTCATCAGAAACACCAAAGGTGTGCAATGACTCGAACCTAAAAACGACACTGACCTAAATATCGGAACTTGGGGTCCCCGGTATTCGCCGCCGGGGACGGATGCCTGAAAGTAGCTTAACGGCGCTAAGCAGGCAAGTATCACTACTCCATCAAGAACGCATCTCAGCACGCAGATTTGAATCATGGGCATCATTTTTGCAACAACCTTGGAACAAACCCATAATTTTTTCAAAATCATTATCATCACAGATTATATAACTAATATCACAAAATCGGAAATGAAATCTGCTTCTTTGGAGATCTGAAACTGCGAGAACTGTCATGAGATTATGAGAAGATTGACGATTGTATCTGTGATTGAATGCAGTACGACCGCTGAAGTTATGTTCAAGTAAGCTGCTTACGGTTAACGCTATTTGTGAGACAAAGTCAGCTGAGACTCCTCTTCGATCTCTGAATCACTAGATGGAACATTTATACTGAAGGCCACTCAAACTACAGTAGAAGAGAGGTGAGAAGCATCAGCCATGATACGGTATCATCCACTTATGGGCTCCATAGATTCCACTTCCAGAAATGTACGTGGAGCCCTGTCTCCCTTGCTTCTTTTACCCACAATGATGATCGTCCCTCCCGGTCAGATGACTTTGGTTGCAAAGCACGATGGCCCGAGTCTCCTGTTGACGGAATTGGATAAGTCCACATAATCATCAGATGAGAACCCCAGTAACGAAGCAATTCGGACCGTGAAGAAAATATCAGCTCCGTAAAATTTACCAACGAAGCTATGGAGATTACCATTGTGCGAAATTGGAGACGCTCGAAACAGCTAATTAATGATTTAGCAATTTAATCAATGATGGAATTTCACACCGTCATCGTAACACGAAACTATCTTAAGCTTTGTAACCGATGAGTGAGGGTGGACTGTATCACTGCCGAATCGGATTGGCTAGGAAGCATCTTTTGGTTTCAAGATCGTTCTACAACAGACGGGGGCTGTGTACTTGATGAATTATGTCCACATATCACTCGAAGCTCATCACGCAAATATAGTTAGGTCGGACTCCAAAGTAGCGCATTAACAGCAGGGATCGTAGCCTTACTCTCGTGACTGAACTGATTAGTGTTATTGAAGAAATCATTCAGACTACCCGGACGAGAAACATGGGTGAAGCAATTGACGATACAGTTACATGGAGATCACCCCGCACAGTCATAATCAGACGGAAGTTGTTAAGGTGCGCCGAGTTTAGTTCAAGTTGGTAATTCTCGGAGTCCCCGCCGAGCGGGGACTTCGAGGATTGAAGAAGAAGAAGAAGTCGATGCGAACGGCACCGCGTTCCAACTCTAGCGCCGTGAGCATCACTGTCTCGATTGACTCGGCGGCTGGAAAGTCTTCACTCCATCCATCAACTTTATGCCGGTGTACAAAATGTCAACCGATTTATGGCGCCTTGTCTGATAGCCAGCTTAACCGACTGTCATGCGGCAGCTGCAGATCGTGACTGTAACAAGGTACCAATGCTTGTGCTCTGGAACATAAACGAGCGGCGATGAAACTCGCAAACGAGCTCCGAGATCACGTCACGCCGAGGGCGCCCGACGCGGGCCACAATTCACGAGAGCAGTGACCGACGAGCTGCAACCGAGCTCTCGACGTCGACAGCAGTAGCCCCGCGCACTTTTCAGCAGATCGTGCGAGCGGACGGAAGGTGACGAAGGCGATGACGGCTGCTGACTTTAGGAACACCCGGAGCGAAGGCGATTGGCGTGCTGGCCATGTGGAGACATGCGCGCACTTCTGACACGATCTGGAATCCTCAGCAGCTGGCGCTCGGGCCGTGTGCCCCGCGCATCAATTCTCGGGCTCTCGCTTCCGGCCTTCATTCACGCTGTGTCCGGACGAGCACCGCGAGGTGCGATCGAAGAATTTCCTGCTGGAGACCTGGTCGCGTTTCTCCTCGACTGGGGTTGTGCCGGGACCTCGATTCGCGGATGGGATCTCCCGCGGACGATTCTGGGATCTGGAAGTAGCCGTGGTAATGCTGATCGGCCCGGAGAAAAGACCTCTGCGTCCAAGCACCATCTGCCATATTTCGGGCGCTTGAATAATTGTACCATTACTTACACCTCGAGCTCCTTTGAGCTCTCACACTTTTCGTCTCTCACCCTCCCTCCGTCCACCGTCAAGCTATCCCATGTCGAGAGGAGATGGGGGATCGTCTGATAGACGAAAATAAATCTCTTCGCGTAGAGGAAGGACGAGTTTGAAATTTGGTTCCGACACCGTCCGCATTTCAGCACTAGTCATTCATATCTCGAGTTTTCGACTTTGTTTCCATCCCGTTGCCATCCCATCTCTGCGTCTCATCCTCGCGATGCAGAGTATCCAAGTTCTAAGGCTTGCTGTCGTCTTATTAGTATGTTCGAGCTTTGTAATCAGATGTTCGGAAGCGGCTTATACGCTATCGTTCACACACATGCTCTCAGAGAAAGCTAAAGAAGATCATAATGCCCAGGAGAAGGGAGCTTGGCCGTTCCCTGACCCGGACACCGTCGAGTATCAGCATCTTCTTCGGCAGTACGATGCCGTGCGCCATAGGAGAATGCTTGCCGGCACCCCTTCAACTTATACCTTTGTCGAGGGCAACGTTTCCATATCATTCATCGGAGGGTGAGATGCGCTCTCGATTGTGACTGCCTAGCGATGCTTAGTCGGACAATGCAAGGTCGAAATGATGTTTGTTGCCGTCGAGTCTATGGAATTCCCTCTTTCACCGAAGTAGAGGAGCTTGGATTTTCACATCCGGCGCTCCACCGTGGCCGGATTTCACACCAGGGTGCCCATGAGAAAGACTGAATCGAGTTGCGTGCGCTGACAGATTCTACTACTCGACGATAAGTGTGGGTACACCGGCGGTGCCGTTCTTGGTCGCCCTGGATACGGGAAGTGACCTCTTCTGGCTCCCTTGCGAGTGTCAGTCCTGTGCGCCGGCTACTGCCCCGATCTACGAGGACTACGGTGTCGTAAGTCTGCAACTCTCGCATGTGTCATACTTCATTCATGTCTCTCCATGTATTCCTCGACTCCCACTCACTGATGGATGACCCACACCTGAAATCTACATGTTTCTGATGGATCTTCGCTTCTGCACTTTATGACGTGCATGGATGAGATGGATACTTCGTCTGTTCGAGGTGATACGGGCAGTGTATGGCCTTGAGCACACACCCCCCAGCTCGTCAGAGACCTTGCTTCGTTTTCATTCTCGCAGGTTGGTTGACGTCGAAGGCCAGTGCTTGTCGTCGCGCTCTTGGCACCGGGTGCATGACTGAGTCGTCTCGTTGACCATGATGTTTCTCAGAGTAAGGCCTTGAAGGTTTACAGTCCAAAAGCTTCGAACACCAGTACAGCAATATCCTGCGGCAGCAGTGACTGCCCTGCAATAATCAGTCAATGCCAGGCCGCCGCTGGGGAACAATGCCTGTACGAACAGAATTATGCAGCCGTCAACACATCCACCAGCGGGAGATTGGTGCAGGACGTACTTCATCTCATTCCAGATATGGGGGCCCCAACCGCGACGCAAGTGCCCGTAATTGTGGGGTAAGTCGTACTCGCCACGCCTCAAACACAGAGCATCGATGCCGTCGTTGCCGATACATGAGCTCGCCGCGCTCTCTGTACTGATTGTGCACTGGCGGCGTGACAGATGTGGCCAGACGCAAACCGGGATATTGGTCGATGGCTTCGGGCCCCCGGATGGCCTCATTGGATTGGGATTGGAGAACTACTCTGTTCCGACTACCTTGGCCAGGTCGGGGCTCGTGAAGGACTCCTTCTCGATGTGCTTCGGGGCGGACTTTGCAGGACGAGTAGTGTTCGGAGACATCGGATCCACGGCGCAACAGTCCACGCCGTTTGCACCAGCGCAGCCCGGAGCGTAGTACGTATTGAAATGCAGCCCTTTCCGCGAACTCTTTTCATGTTTGTGCCTGCGAGCGATCTGATTGAGGTCTAGGAGCTGCTGGCTGTGAACCAGGAGAATCATCAGGAGAATTTTGTCTTCGCTATGGAGTGTGTCTTATCATCTGCCCGACGCCGTCTGATTGTGTCGCAGCAACACGTACTATGTTGGTGTGGAAACGATTATTGTCGGGGGCGATACCATCACTGTCGGAATGTCCGCATGGTTTGACACCGGTACCCAGTTTTCGTACTTGGAGTCCGCAACTTACAAGCTTTTCGTAGCTTCGGTAAGCTCTTACAATCTCTGCGAATTTTGCTTCTGCAGAAGCACCCCCTGTTCTTGGTTTAACTTCTTTGCGACTGCGTCTGTAGATTGAGCTTCGCGCTCCGGATTGGACTTACGTTTTTGCAATGTCTCAGTTTGACAAGCAGATTGCTGGTTATACGCGTACCACGGAACCCCAGCTGTTCGAATATTGCTACCTAACGAGGTATGACAGAATATTGGCCCGTACAGTAATTATCGCGTGAGGTACATTCGTGGAATTTCGGCAACTGTGGTCAGGTCGGTGCCTGTAGATTGACACCAATTGCTCGTACTGCCATCGCAGAGACGACATTGTCAATGCTCCTACCATCGATTATGTCCTATCTGGAAATGCTACGTTTCCTATCGGATACCCGCTTATCTCCCTCTTCTTCCAAGTGGGTTATTTCTTGTAACTTTCTTTCATGCTGTGGTTGAGCTGTGTGATCTAGTGAGTGCGCAGACTGAAACTCCTTAAATATTATGATTAACGATCTTCGGCGTACGCACTTTACAGCGGTCAGGAAGTTATGGCAGTCGTGAGTGGACTCAGTTTGCAATTCAATGTCACATAAGTGTGCCCTGCTTCCTATGCTTGTACAGAACGGAACGCGTGGTGGATTCTGCCTCGCCATAATCGAGTCCAATATTAACCTCATCGGAGGTTGGTCATCATCCTTCCCGTGCTCAGATACTAGTGCATCTATGATGGCTCAGAGAAGAGTTCTAGAAAGACAACAACACATATATACACAATATTTGACATTGGTGCTTGCATCCCCTACTGTGATATGAACTACTGTGATGATTGATGGAACTCGTGGTCGTGCTTTCAGTGAACTTCATGGTGGGCATGAACCTGGTATTCAACCGAGAGCAGCGGACTCTGGGCTTTGAGGAAACAGACTGTAAGGCCCCGCGCTGCGTATTTTCCATTTTGAATCAGAATGATGTGGCTGCAGGAAGGAGTTGTCTCGATGGTGGTCCCGTCGTTTAGAAAGTGGAAGAATGATATTACACACTGGCTTCAACTCGTGCTCTTCGTGCCTGTGCAGGCCTTTCGCTCATGTCGAACAGTGGGCCCGCTCCAGCTCCCAACGCCGGTGGACCGAGCCCGAGCCCCGGCCCAAAAGCCTCAGCATCCTCCCCTACCACAAGGCCTCCCAATTCGTCTACCACCACCCCCGGTCCTGCTGCAGCTCCAGCGCCATCGCAAGCATCTCACGCTGCTGCCTTCTCCCTGGCAACTCTTCTTTTATTAGGACTTGTACATGTACTGCTTTAGTTATTATCATGTGATTGTTGCACTCTTAACTTCATATCCACCCTGTAGACTTACCATTCTTTTATCCTGAAGATCTGGAGCCTGAAGAGGTAGATCACTGTTAGATATCACATCGACACAGCTTTAATCCTGTATCATCACTTTTCGGCACATTCTTCGTGGTAGTTTCTGCTAACCACCGAACAGGTCCTTTTTTTAACACATAGAGAAGATTATGAACACGCCTTTCTCACTGAATGGGAGCGTGGAGCAAGCCATTTTGTGAATCACAAAGTGTAACGAAAGATCCGAAAGACAGGTGGGAAGAACATGTCTCCCTCATAATATCATGACAATTCTTACAGATATCTTATGAAGTAAAACAAGTGTTATATAGTACCGAGAAAACTTTGGATCCAAGTGATTGGCTGGCTCGTCTTGAACCTTTTCACTTGATTGCACTCTTGTTACCGCCATGCTTCTTTTACGAAAAAAAATACGAAGTTTGGTCTAATGAAGTTTCTGGTTCCACTGGCGGCAATAAATCAACCAATTCGTATCAGAAATGGCTAAAGTCTCTGCGTTACTGGTCGAATTGTAATTGCTCTATTGCCGTTTAATGGTGAAGCAAACTAATTTCAGTAGAAAAACTCGGCTATTTCATAAATATTTCAGGAAAGTTATGTCATACAGCAATAAGGCCACAACTCCACAAGCCTATGGGCCCATGGAGTCTCCATGATTGAGTAGTATGAGATCAAATTGACCCGTGAGTGATAATTTGAGGCCAGGTGAATGAAGTGACATACATACCCTTGCATAAGTAGAGGTATGGATGACACTTCGTTAGTGTGGCAATAATTTGATTAATTAAAAGTTGGATATATATATATATATATATATATATATAGCATTTGTATAACGCTATGTAGCAAACGATTGTATGGCATCTAGGTAACTATGTCGACTTAATATTGATTGAAAATGATAGGTAGATAATTTGGAATAAATAAAGTGCAGTAAAAACGATTGTATCTTTTTTTAAGACATAATGAAAAAATTAAATTGAATTGAATTGTTTCAATAATTTTTTGTGTCAAATTCAAAAAAATAATTATAACAAGATTTTAAAATTTATAATAAATAAACATGGAACAAATATATAGATATATATATATATATAATTTTTAATATTATTTGACTATTTCAATTGAAATTTTTATATTTAGAAAGGAGAAAAATGACATCCTTGAGGAATATTTTGAACATAAAAACCGCCCTAGAGGACCTATCGAATTTCAGTTTGGTTGCAAGAAAAATGTTGACTTTTGTGAAATTACATTCATTACTGCAGAAAAGACTTATGTTTCACTGGTATTATTTTGCCATGGATTTTATGACATCTGTCACATATACATCCTTATCTTTGTCCAACATAGGATAAACATTGAATCTGTTCTCAAATCCTGTTATAACACCGTCCTCCTCATTGCTTTCTATGTTTGTGTTAATTGAAAAAATCTAGAAGAAAAATTTAACAATAATCATGTCTATTGATTCAAGTCTAACATAAAGTCTTGAAGGAAAAAAGTATCAAGACGCAATCTCAGCATTTGATGATTAAATTCAGGAGAGATGAAGCTTTTGGCAGAAAGTTGGTGTCTTAGTTTAAGTTTAAATTTGAATTTGAGTTTCATATCAACGAAGTAAGAGTAAAACATTCTCAACAAACTGACAATGATGAAAATCAAAGAATTTAATTTTGACATTGCCAAGTAGAATAGAGTTTGAATCATATTATCTACATTCGTTAGACAAAAAACTTTCTCAAAGCTAATTATTTTGAAATATTGCTAAGACCGATGATTTGATTTGATGTGAGAATATGAATGGAATGACATGTAAAAGATAATTATAAAAATATATTTTTAATCTATAGCCTCATATTATCAAAGAATTGGATAAGTTGAAAAATGTTGTTCCTATTTCAATGAGCTGTAAAGAAAATATCATTCAACAAAGATGTAAAATTGTCTTTATACATACTTGAAGCTTATAGATTCAAAATGAAAGACAATAATATAAACATACAAAATCATATGTTTGCTTTCAATGATTTTGTTGTGGATTTGTAAATTCTTGTTAAAGAGTTAAAAAAATAACAATTGTAGTGTTTAATTACTACGTATTATTGATCTTTATCACGAGTGTTTTTCCATTGCGATAGAATCATCATCATTGATAATAAGATGGTGATTGCTTTGTTGAAAAATGATTTCAGCAAAGGATTATGTTACTCCCTCAAACATCAATCTTCACAAACATAACCGTTGCCTGTAAATTGTGGAAAAATTTCCGAAACTTATAAATGAATTGAAAAGTATTTATAATTCTAGATCTATGTGAAGAAGTAGATTTAAATATCGGAAAACTATGCTACCCTAAAACAGATCACCTCAAAACAGATGCTTGCAACCAAACAAGCAAGCTTTTTTTGCAAACAACAAGGAAAAAGATGAAGATGATTTGCTTTACAAAAAGTATGCTTATTATTAAGGAAATGCTTTTTGGCATTTCATCTTAATAAATAATAATATTTGGAATCTGTACAGAGTTTTTACATATCATATATCTCATAAAAGAAATTTTCAATTGAATAATATCAAATTATTAATTTTTAATGTAAAATGATCAATCATGTTAAATTCTAATAAATTTTCATTTATGAATTATAAGTTTTTAATGGCCTTGTATGAAAGATGATAAATTTTACATATATTTTTGACATGAGGAATCCTGATATTCGTTTGTATACTATATTCATTTGATGATCAATGATGAATGTTTGATGGTGTAATTCAAGTCATGACTCAAGAAAATATCATCTTCAAGAAAAATAGACATAGCACATTATGATTGATAGATGATATTTTTATTTTTGAAAAAATTCTGTTTTTAGAAGTCGTAATGAGAATAATTATTTACGTCATTCAAAACTATATCATATTTGTGAAAAAAACTTGTAAATATTTCACAAAAATGCTTCATAATAAAAATACGGTTTGGTAGTTTAGGATTTTATGAGCATACTATGCTAGTAGAGTAACTTAAAAACATGCTACAAACATTGAATATTATTTTTTCAGAAATTTTTTTAAATATTTACATAATAATAGGTACATTCATATTTCATTCACTTTTTTGAAAGCTATACTCTGTGAACTCCATACTAATTCTCACTAAAGATCTTGTTGGATAATTTTTTGATAGTTGATCATAAAAGAATAATATGAAGTGATCTTTTGGTTTACTCTCATTGAAATTTATCTCCTATTCTTGGTTCTTTTCCACGAGTGTTAAAAGATAAAGTTATATTTCGAGACTTTATCATGAATCTCACAACGTTGATGTTTTTTCGGAGTTTTCATAATCAAACACACTTTCAAACAATGTTTCCAATTATTACTAAACAAAAAATCTTTAAAAAAACCAAATGTATTAAAAAAATTTATTAGGAGTAGTTACAATTTTGCTATTCTAATTTAATTTAGGGAAAAAAAACTCGACATTAACAAGGCAAAACATACATTTTGTGAATTGCAAACAAATCTACAAGTAATGTTGTGAAATACTACAAGAAAAGGCAAAAATTCCGATAAATCAAGATTTCTGAAGAGCTATAGATGAGTTAAAAAATGTTCATTTGCTCAAATGACACAAATAACAATTTTAAACGTTGAATGGAACAAGATGACAGCAATGATATTTAGAGTAGCATGATATGAGAAAGTAAAATACAATATACGTGAGAGAAACAAGTCAAGAACAAGCTAAAAGCTATGGATTTATGCAAGACGTTGAAACCAATAGCATTCATTTACAACGACGACGATTAGAAAAATCTTCAAAAGTAAACTATCAACATTGTCATATTGCATTTATATTTTTCAAGTGAATGAATATAATCATTGTAATATGTTGTTTGAAACTTTTTATAAATGAATTTATTGCAAAGAATTTTCAAACATGTTGTATGTCTCCTTGACGATCATGAGTTTTAAGATGAAATATTCTATAATTATATTGATTTGTTTGGTGATCTTGTCATTTACTTTCAGAAACTTGGAAAGAATATAAGTGTTGAAAGTAAATTTTTCATCTTTTAGCTCATTACTTGACTACTATCATTTATTATCACGTGTGTTGCTTCATCATGATAGATAAAAAATTATAACAAAGTTATAAGTGCTTTGTTGACGGATGATTTATAACATAAGTTGATGTCATTTTTCCGTTATCTTCTTCCAATACTACATTAAATATGATTGAAGATCTTTCATATTCATGGAATTACAAGAATAGTAATCGTTTTGGATTTAAAAGTAATTTCAACTTTAGAGTAATATTCAAGAAAAATGTAGTTGGTTAAAAATGTATCAAGGTGACTATGTCAAGAAAGACTTTATGTGTGAGTATCAAAACTACTAATACTTCTTTAATGAATGTGGCTTAAGAATTTTATCTTGAGAATGATGATTTGTTGGTCGATGGATTATGATGCTAGAGTTAAGCTTCATGCATTTCACCAAGAAATGTTGGTGTTGTATGATTTAAAGATTTTTCTTTATCTTTATTATATTATGCAATTTTTTAGTAATTTGTCACTATATTTCAATTCAATTCAATTCAATTCTTATGAAAAATGATTAATCTTGTAAAATTAAAGATATTGGGTTGGTAAAATTCAAATGTTTGATGGAGTCAACGTACATTGATTCAAGTCAAAATAATATTTGATATTAGAAAGAAATTGATCTCTCTTCAAGTGTTAAATTCAAAGTATCTTGAATGCAACTTTATAATGTAAATGCTCGAGGTAAAAATACGTAATAAGATTAGATTAAAAGTTTACAAACACAATGATTTATACATGCTAGAAGTTAAAATCACCTTTAAGGAGATTGTAATCACAAAAAATTGATTATTGAAAAAAAATCTCTAATATATTGCATCGTATGTTGGACATTATTATTGTAACAAAAGTTCATGAGCATACATACATGTGGTTTGTCATTACGAACAAAGTTCATAAAAAATAAAAAAATCTTTACTGATAAAAAATCCTGAAATTTTGATCAAAAGTTTTGGCTAGCTTTTCTTCATATTATCAACATAATCAAAATCCAAAATGGGATTTAAAAATCAGAATTAAAAATTGAGTTATTATAAAAAATAATGTATCATTTATATTATGTTTGTCAATAAAAAAATTAATTCAAGTCAAATCACATGCTTTACATTTGTATATACAAGGTTAAAGTTTTTTTTAAGAAACTGATATATTAACAAAACGTATGAGTAATAACTTTATATATTTTTTCAATTTAATATTTTTTTATATCAA